CTTTTTCTTCGATGCATTGCCGAGCACCACACGCGGTTTGCACTTTATTTTTCAGATATTGCGAATGTCCCGCATAGACAAAACCTGCAAGCGCGGTGGATTCTTCTTGTCTTTCATGTTGTCTTCGCAGCTGACATGGGCGTAGCCGTCAAACTCGTTGTCAGGGAAGTAGATCGCTCTGAACGGCCATTTACAGAAGTTGTAATACTCGAACACGGGGTGGTCTTTCACCTTCATCGCCGCCCTCGCGTTATGCTGTCCACACACAGGATAATACAAGTATTTCTCGGGCTGTGAGATGTCGAAGTCACCAGGCAGCACGCGCACAGCAGGCTCGCCCCTCTMTGGAGGCGCGACGATGTGAGCGAGAACGAAAATGGGCTTCGTGTATCTCATGTCTTTACGTTCGTAGCAGTCGATCATAGCCGACGCGATGGTATCAACGAGGAACCCGTCCAAGGATCGGTGGTTGTACTCGTCTTCCCAGTCTGGAATAACCAATATTCTTTCGGGATGGATCTGCAACACGACGTCCCTCTGCACCCCTGTCTTCATCTCGAGGAAGAACGCATTGTTGAGGTTAATCTCCACGTCGTCATCCCCCTCCCCGTCGTCGCCCTCATCTGCTTTCTTCTCCCTCGCTGATTTCGACCGTTTCCCGGAAGACTCACCGGTTCTTCGCCGTGTCGATGAGTCTTTTGACGTTTCACCCCCACCTCCAACCCTTTTCCTCTTCTCAACGGAACCGCCCTCTCGTGTTGTTGGCGTCCGAGCACTCCCTCCTTCCTTTCTCTGCCTTTTCAGAGCACCTACTCCCTCTCGCTCTTCCTCATCTGCCAAGTTGTGCTTGCCCCCCGACTGAGTCTTTTCAGGCGATCTCTCACGGAACACCCCCTGTTCGAACACCTCGTCCTCACCGGCGACATTCCCACTTGCTTCTCGTTCCTGGCTCAACTCCGTCTGCAGTTGTGCAGGAGCAGGYCGGTCCCGGCGAGTTGTCTCATATGACCCACGCACCTCTCGAACCTGCGAACCACCCGCGCGATCGCCAGGCGAAACCTCGGCCACYTGCATGCCACGAACGAATGCACCGATCCTTTCGACCAGACGACGAGGAGTCGTCCATTCTGAGCCCTGTTGCAACCGTTCGCCAACGCCGCCTCCACGTGGCGTCGACTCCCCAAGCAAACCTTGGAGGCGAGATCCCTGTAAGCCCGGTTTCAAAGGAGCACGCAGATGGTCGCCYTCCGAGTCGTCTGACATGCCCACCTCTTGATCGGGAGGCGTAGCTGGCAGGCCACCCTGAGCTCCCATYCTCCTTTCAGAGCACTCTCCCCCCGCGAACCCAACAGGACCACTGATCGATGTCCYAGGTCCGACGTCCACAGCACTGACAGAGGTACCTGATCTCGCCCAAACCTCGAGGAAGTCTGTCACGTGAACGGCCTCGTCGTGCCCCGGCGCTAGCGGGACAAAGGACGACAAAGACATCGCACGCTGGCCATACCCGCCGAACATCCTCCCGGCAACCKTGCATCCTTTTGCGATGTCGTCGACGGAACCATCACATCTATAAAGCTTCCGCAACGTAAACTTGAAATTGTATTCGCCTTCGTCGACCCACTCGATATCGGCGCGAACGGCGAGGAACAAGAGCGGCCCACACGGTGGTTTCAATGGGTCGGAGCCGTCCTGGCTYGCCCAGTTCAAATACCGGACACGTTTGCTGTAGTCGCACCACAAGTTTTGAKCCCTTCGGTCTTCCTCCCCACCGCCACCTCCCCGACTCGTTTCCCTTGCCGGTGACGACGCTCATGCGGTGCGGAACCACCAGCGGAGCGACTTCGTCCGTGTGTAGCCATTCCCTGAAACACGCGGAGGAAATGAACGCACATGCACTCCGAACACTCAGCACGTCCTAACATCAACCTCGACCCACAACTCGTATTCTGTTATCGATCACCCGGACCCCAAAAGAATAAAGTTCAGTCATAGTTAGACGACAGTGGTCCACACGCCTACTCGAAAGGAGGGCAACTGCACGTTTCGGATGAATCCGGCGCATCGTGAGCCATCCTCGTCACACTGCCCTTAAGAGAACGAATGGTCGAAATCGAAGACCGCGGGACAGTTCGGATACATCCGAAGTAGGCGCAGTCGAAAGACCGACGTTGCATATGGTTGCCAGTCATAGGCACCTGCACCGC